TTTGCGAGGGCTGCAACTGCGATTTTACATACGAGAGACGGGACGACCTGCTACGCACTCCACGTGACGAGCATTCAGCAAGCTTAGATCACGCATGCGCAGAAGACAGGTTCCCTTTATTACGCATGTTTTGTGTGGGCGTTTGAGGTTGTTATTCTTAAATGAGTACTGTCTTTAACTTTGTCGGAATAGCCATAGATGAGTGATTGAGTGAGTGTAGTTTTACGCCGCTTTTAGCAATTTCCAGCAATATCACGGCGTGAGACTCCAGAAATGGGCTTCACACAATGTACCCATGTGGGAAATCGAACCCGGGCCCTTGGCATGACGAGCGAACACTTTAACCACTAGGCTACCCAACCGCCCCTTCACCATAAAAGTAATTATTTGTTTCTGTGAAAATTATATATATTCAGAGACTCAGCATTAGTCTAGAAATACTGGTACCTGCATGATCTGGTACTTGAACAGTTTCTGTCTTCTTACACGTTTTGACATCAAAACATCTTGTACATAGAGAATCTCACCCAAGTGTCTACTGATATCAATTATATCAACGCGAGTTGATAAAGTTACAAATATCCGAGGCTTGCTTGACGAATATATTTTTACCTTTATGAACGAATGTTGATATAATTGGTATCAGTATACACGAGGGTGAGATTCTATTTATCATTAAAAATCATTCTTCATTAGTTTTCAATGAAAAATGTACATCTCTCAACACTGTACTACCATTGGACTTTAACCACTAGGCTACCCCACAACTCAGCCAAAGATGAAGCGGAGATCATTGTGCTGTAATCATATTAAACATGTGTTCAGTAATAAATCCTCATGTTAATGCCGGGGGTAAGCGTAAAGGTTACCATCGACGTCACCCGTCACAAACACACGGAAAGGCACGTCAAGTTTTCAAAACGATACCTCAGTACCCTGCAATGCTCTTCCATTTTGAGTCGGTGCCAGAACAAACGAAGCAATCAGTAATGACTAACTAAAAAGAACTCGCGTGTCAGTATGAAAGAACCCGTGAAAGTCCGTGTTAGAATTGGTCTTCAGCAACCCATGCTTGTCTACACCCGTACAGATCCGGGTTAGAATGAACTTTCAGTAACCCATGCTTGTCGTAAGAGGCGACTAACGGGATCGGGTGGTCAGGCTCGCTGACTTGGTTGACACATGTCATCGTATCCAAATTATGTAGATCGATGCTCATGCTGTTGACCACTATACTAGTTTGTCTGTTTTTGCCAATCACTTAAGTGTCCAGACTCGATTATTTAAAGACCGCCGTCATATAAGTCCAGTCAAAATGTGACAAAACCTCCAAATAATTGGTACAGAAATCATTTGAGTGTTTTCAGCATATTTAAGTTATAACTAACGAGTATTAAAAAGTCCTCCCTTGAAATATGATGCTAAGTCCTATTTTGGGGGGTAAAAAGTTTAAAAATTGAAATCTTCAGTAAATAATTTTTAAAATCTCATATTGAGACACAAATTTACTTTTATAGATATATTTTCAAAGAGTACACAGGGTACTACCAATAGATCAATTAGGACAGTCAAATCATGTTATCCGAAGTCCTATTTTGGGGTAAAACGCAAAAAAATTGAAATTTTCAGAGAATATTTAAAAAAAAATTCATATTGAGACACAAATGTACTTTTTATGGATATTTTCAAAGAGAACACAAGGTATTACTAATACATGGGTTATAAAAGTCAAATAGATGGATGCTAAATCCTATTATTGAATAAACAATTGAAAAGTAAAAATTTCAGAGAATAATTTTAAAATCTCATACTGAGACCCAATTGTACTTTAATATGCATATTTTCAAAGAGAACTCATGGAACTACTAATACATGGACTGGAAAAGTCATAATTTGAATAAAACCATAGATAAAAGAATTTTCAGAGCATATACTTTCCATTTCCAAGGGTAACATAAACACAACTTTAGGAACATGCAAGTTAGTTCCTCTTTTTGCCTCATCAGACTTATGATTAATCTGAAAGTGAACTATCCTCTATCAACATGGAGAAGCTGTTATATCTCTAAAACTACCACATATTCATTCATAAACTTTGAACAGAGAGAGAGATCAGGTTATGAACTATGCTATTTTAAGATGTTGAAATGTGTATTTATTGTTTCCTTGGCAATACGTTTGACTTTGTCCATGGTAATATACTTGCAACGGCTATATCTAAACCCAATAGGAGTTCAATTAAGAAACTAAGTGGTGCCTTTGCTCTCCAGGTATTTGTCCATGACACTAGGTTTAGGTTTACTGAAAGAAGAGTGTATTTATTGCTAAAGACTGAAATCCACATCAATATGTTTCTGCTGTAACCTCATGGAACCGATTGAAGTACATGTCAACATATGGGTGACAAATTCTCACAGTAAATCTATTACAGTGTCCTATGTGAGATATTATCTGTCAAATACAACCAGCTGACTTCCACGTGAATATGAATCTGTGTAGATTACTTGACTCTGGTTAACCTAATATATGTGGCTTGTCGAAGTGTGTACCGACATTGTACGACTTTGTCTTGACCGCTCACAAACACGTAAGTTGAGCAAGTACAGCTTAGAGTCTGGGATTTAGGTTGACCATAGGCACGAAGGTGACATAACTCAATACTGAGAATGATACAATCTTGTGATTCATTTCATATTCCACAGGAGACGTTCAAGACATCAAGTGGTTAAAGTGTTCACTCGTCACGCCGAAGATCCGGGTTCGATTCCCCACATGGGTACAATGTGTGAAGCCCATTTCTATTGTCCCCCGTCGTGATGTTGCTGGAATATTGCTAAAGGCGGCGTAAAAACATACTCACTCACTCTGCTCACATAATAATATGTAGTTGCCAGTTAAAGTTAAAAGAGAACAAACCTATTCTTCAATCACCTTTTAAATTGTTTTAAAATTAATAGCATAGAAAATATAAATGGTATCATATTTTCCTAATCTATCATTTTGGCATATGTTTCTTCAAGTTCTGTTAAATCTTGATACAGAATGTCCCATATATCACCAAGGTGCGTAGTCTTACACGACCGCAGTGCATATAGTTCTGTGGGCTAATTATGGGAGCAGTCAGTCTTGACCTACAAAGCTGTTTCCAGGAACCAACAGTTGTTTTATGCAAATTACTTGGATCTGTCAGGTTCCTAAATTTCACTGAGATCCTTTAGTAACATAATACTAAAACGTCTGTCGAGTAAAAACACAACTCGCATTCCTGAAGTCACAACTGGAAACATCAGAATGGGCGGTTCCGAAACCTCCTACCGAAACCAGGTTAATTTGAAAGGCGAAACTAATTAAACAACGTCAAAAGCCACTGGTGCGTTAGATGGAACCCAGTCTGACAGTCGTAGAAGGCTTTGCGATAAATACACACGAAAACAGGTGACACGAACACATGCTGTTGGTTGGAAAACTATCCATCATTGGAACTAATGGGAGGCCTTGCCAACTAGCGGCTCTCTTTATTTCGGGTTAATTGATGTTTGTTCGGTGGTAATGGCAGTAATTCCAAGGAAATGGGCGGTGCTGTATACGAAAACGTACATCGTATAAAAACAACCCTGCAAAAATGCATTACCAGTGAGGGCTCACCGGAAGGAGCTGAAGGTCAGCGGTCATGCGCAAAGACAACTGGTCAAAAGACATGCCGAATATGAATAAATGATGGATTAAGCAAGCCATATTATGGTGACTGTGACTGAGTGAGTTTGATGCCGGATTTTGCAACATTTCAGCAATATCACGGCGGGGGACACCACAAATTGGCTTCACATATTGTACCCTTGTGGGGAATCGAACCCGGTCTAGCGGCCAACGCTTTAACCACTAGGCTACCCCACCGCCCCCAACATTGTGAGTCGTACAGAGATGAAAGAGGTGCTCGGTTTGGCTTTGAAAAAGATCGGGGATTTATTTCAGATTGACGGCTCCATATAAGGCACTTGTCAAGTAATTGAACCTTCAAGCATCATCAGCTTCTTTGTTGACTGGTAAAGACATTACAACAGATTTTAATTATTTGGTTCACAGGATGTCTAAATTGAATTTTTTTTAGGAAAGCCTGCTTTTCTGTTACCGATTCCTTAATGTATTGTTAGTAGAAAAGATATGTTTCCAAATTAGTTATTTACCCAACCCGTTATTTATGATTGAACAGACCATGGGGTAAACTCTGTTTATCCATAATGTAAACACTGGTGAGTGAGTGAGTGAGTGAGTGAGTGAGTGAGTGAGTGAGTATGGTTTTACACCGCTTTTAGCAATATTCCAGCAACATCACGGCGGGGGACACCAGAAATGGGCTTCACACATTGTACCCATGTGGGGAATCGAACCCGGGTCTTCGGTGTGACGAGCGAATGCTTTACTTTTATGCAAATACACACATCAACACTGCGGTAAGGTATGAATTTGTGACGCTATTACCCCTATCATGTTTGAAAAGTTGTAAGCAAATGTACTGTTTCGAAGAAAACACGTCCAAGATACCCATAAGGAATTCTGTGTTATGCAAATCGTTTTCGTCTTTCGTAAAGTTTGAAACCAGTAAGAGTTATTGTTCTGTGCAGTCTATGAACAAGACCAAGTACAGTTTATTTATATAATATAATGTCCCTGGCGTTTATCGATACATTGAAGCGCCAGTGCATCATACCACACCCCATTGTGGCCATTGAACAAAATGAGTTCCCGATCAACTGACGCAACTCAACAAACACGGAACTATGTACCCCAAGCGTCGTTTCCGATCCAAAATGGCGAAAATGTGAAAAAACGGTAAATAAGACTCAATCAAGTGATTTAGCCTTTTGATTTTTACCCGGTTTCAGGAATATGTTTTTTTGAAAGCGTCAGGATTGGTCGTTAAACTGATCTCCTAAGGGAAGGGTTGGATAACAGTGGCAGTTCTTCAAGTACTTGCACTCCAATGCACTGACAATACCTACTTGCTGATAACTGTCGACGTCTGTGACGTAACTGTGGCGTCATTCTCTTGTCGTCATCTTGGATTTTCATGCGTCTTCTGAATTTCTGTCATCATGCTGAAAAAGAACGTAAATTATAAACAAACCTAAATGAAAGGAAAACTTGGTGATGTAGCAATATAACCACAATCACTGGTGTTGAAGGGGATACACATGTTACTTGTTGTTACATTGCCTGGTGCTCGGCATTTTGGGACTAAACAAAACAATAACAGACAGACAGACAGACAAGCGCATCCACATCGCGGTAAAAGTGCAATGAACTTAAACGCGACATACCCCATTTAAACTCACCTGAGCTAAAACAGAGGTATAATTAAGAGAAGAAAACGCTTTACACGAAACAGATCCAAACGCTACCTACCGTCCTACGCCACCTGATCCCAATCCAAACTCAACTGTGGCAATACAAACAGTCTACATGTTGACTGAGACGCTGCGACGTCTTAAACAAACCGTCTCAACCCGAGACATGCCAACATTAAAAAAGGCACCGGTGTCCCGTGGCTGTTGAAGACTCTTTTGTTGAAGTCAGATTGTTGATAAATTGCGTTTATTTACGACAAACAGCAACAAAACACCCAGAACAACAACGTGTAACTCTCTCACGCTCAAGTCAAGCTCCTATTCTTGTTTATGTGGAAACAAAACTTCAGCAGAAAATTTCGCTTGCTATTTTCACGTCATCGGGAAATCTGGAATCTGATGGAATTTTTCCCGCGAGATCACGCGTTGTTTGAACGACGCCAGGCGTGACGACCAACGTCGACCTACATTTGTCAGTGTGAATGACGTCGTTATTCGGTAACTGTATATCAGAGTTTATGGTGATAAATAATAGAGGTTAAAGGGGCAATGGGTCATAATCTTCTTGAGCATTTTTCAGTCGCCATCTGGTTTGAGCAGATGTTCAACGCAAGTTCTCTCCCTTTGGTCATGCCAGATCGGCTGATTGTGGGTTCGAATCCCGGCAGTAAACCTTGACCTGTCCGTATCATAACGTACCCACGAGTGAGTGAGTGATTTGTAACCTGGTTCTTTAATTTGGAACTTCTCGCAGGTGGACGACAAGCAAGAACAATCAAAGTCAAAACTTCGTGGATCGTCTAGTGGTTTTTTATTTAGTATCAACGGTTATAGTCTTAACAATTCAGGTACTTAGCAAGCGTGGTGTAAGTAATCCTGAATGTCCGGGAGCGCAGCGACCTCTGATCACTTAACGTTAGTCCCAAACCGTCTCCCCGAACCTAACTTTCCCCTAGTTTTATCCCCAACCTTTCCTACATCAAAGTCCATAATCCATCAAATCAGAAGCCCAGAACATGACTGTTTTGCTGGACTGTCTTTTAGATGTCATATGCTATACCTAATTATTAAACCTTGATAGACTATAAGCCCTTGTACTAGTGACAGGGAACAAGGCTTGTACAGTGTTGCCACTGTCACTTAGCTCTATTGATCCCCTGCTACATCACCCCTTGTCCACTGTGACATGGTCCGAGTTGTATTCACCCTCTGACCATGGCCCCAAAACTCAATTACAACTTGTTATACTGGCCGATGTCACCCAGCCTCGGACATCCAATTAATATCTGTAATCCGTTACTATCTGCGCTCCCGGTTCTCACGTACAACTTTCCTTTACAGTTAAATACTCAGTTAACACACAATTTATAAATTCATACATATTACTGCATTCACAAACATTAAATAATATAACATTAATCAACAATAAAACATGTTCTTATTATTATTAAATTAAACCGGAGAGTGTAGCTCCCGGTTACAATCCTCTCCTTCTTAGGGTAAGAAAATACTACGCAGTAGAATTTTCTTGCATATCAGTATCATAATACACCAATATATTAACAGTTTAGTCTGTTCATCCGTCGAGGTTCTGGGTATAACGTTGCTGAGTTCAAACCAATTCAATATGGAAGGATTTCACAGCTTCAGTTCTACCTTCCACGTTGTATTCACACAAGTGTCTGTCAGCTCATTTAATTAATGTTTCTATCATTCAAGTGACCAATAATAATCAGGTTAATTACATATACACTGTCCAATACTTGAATTTCGCCGTCACCGCCAACACGTATATATATTTTCAGTTATATATATTTATTCCGGTTCTGCACAGCACCATCTTGATGATTTCCATATAGAATCACATCACAAGCACATACACCTGTCGTAAAGACATCCTCGAATCTGTCTCTTGAACTCCTCCCTCAGTTCACCAGTCGGAACGATCCAGCACTCACATTAGATTGTGTCGTAAGATCAAGAGGTGCCAGGGGCTTATCTCACCCTCTAGCTCTCTCTCTTGCTCTTTGGTTTCTCCCCTCAGGCTCTCGCCTGGGGACTCTGATCGTTTACGTTTCCGACCTGTTATCCGTGGAGTTGGTCTCGGGATGGCTTCCGGAACGTACATTCGACAGGATTCCGAAAAGGCGTGACTGGTGTTTGCTCGAACTCTTGAAGCGGATGGACGGGCTATCTCTCTCAGCTCTACCAGATTATTTTCAATTCGTTCGTTGGCTAGATTCTTAGCTCTACACCTACTTCTTAAATATATAATTATCAGTATAAATATAACAACTGACACTACACAGACCCCAGTAAGGATATACCAAACTAGCAAAGTAGATGATAGAGAATGCCCATCATAATCTTCAAATTCTATATCGTTTTTAGCCTCCTCTAATTCGTTCATCAACTGATCAATATCATCAGTCGCCGTTTCTTCCAACGGTTTATAAATTATAGGTTCTAATGTGGTAGTATCAAAACGGTAGACCGGTTTGGGAGTTGAGATGGTATATAATTCCAAATTTAGTCTTTATGTAGGTTTGGTCGGATTTTATATTGTGATTCAGGTCTCAAATAAACGGGTAGACTGAAATGAGTAGAGTGAGCTGCGCACCTGATAGGTATTTCAATTACGCTCGTCCCTGGTCTTACTTCAATAACGGTAGACGAATCAGAATCAGGAAGCAAACAGGTCAGTTCTACATCTAGACTATCCTTTGCATAAATTAGCCACTGGCCTTTCGTTAGCGATTTTATAACCGGAAGGTTTAGTGATTTCTGAATATTTTGCTTACAATTTTTCCGAATGTCTTCAACTTTTTGTAGAAAAGGGAAGTGAGACAGCCCGGCACTGTATTGGTGACATAGATAGCTGCAATTAGCGGGCAGTAGGTAATATCTTGCTGAATACACTCATTTACCTCAGTTCTATCTAACTCTGTATATTTTCCTTTATCAGGTGATATAGCTAAAAAGGGTTGCATTCCCTGACTTGTCAGGAGTTGGCACCATTACCATCTTATATAATTCAAAGTACGTAGATGCTTGGAGTAAAGGTATTACCATTATTACATGAAATGAGTTCCGATCGGGTAAAAGAGTTGTTCTAAAATTTTGATAGTAACGTTGTAAATTCTCCTTGCTAACTACGTAGGGTAATCTAAGACTAGGTGGTAACTTCCGATTGAGAGTCAATAAAGCCCTTTTGAGTGCATGTTCAGGAATTAACATTCTTGAATTTTGGCCTCGTAGACAACGTTGTACTTGTCTAAACATTTCTTGTAAAGATGCGCCTAGAGCACTTACGGCATTATCCAGCAAGTGAAACATAGCGTGAATTTGTCCCACTGTTTCCGTGTAAGATAATAAGGGTCTCAGACCTAAACTGATTCTATTATACAGATCATAGATCTTTGTCGGCATAGCTACAGTAATATTCCCTATCCTTTTTATAATTGCGCGATTCACTTGGGATGTCTGTGTTCGTAACGTTTAATATAGTTAGACAGTGTTCCAAAAGATGAATAACCTTCTCCTGGCTCTATTTTATAGAATTTATATTTAGTCTTACTTTATCCATGTCGTCTTGACTTGCTGTACCAAATACTTGAGATAGAAACCCACCTACGTTCAGTAACGCTCTCTTTTGTCTCCTAACCTTTTGAGGTGTTGTAATAGTTCGTAGCCCTTCATAAATGTTTCTAAACCTATTATATTTATCCAGAATCTGCTGACTTTCCTTAGTTAATATAGCCTTAATACCTGTGTGTACATACTTAGTTATCCCCTCGTATTTACCTTTCGGAGTTAGTAAATCAATCCCCTTATCTCAGGTCTTGGATCACTTATCAAAAGATACAAGGGAAATATAACGAGAATAACTCTCCAGAAGAAATAATACAAGTGTTTTTTCACCTGACGAAAAAGAGGTTTGAAGCAGAACAGGCCAGGAAAGATATCCTACGACAGATTGACGCACGTAGAGGGAAATAAGCAAATTAAGAAATTGAAATACAGATAGGAATTGAAAAATGGCAGAAGGAAATGATAGGGTGCCTGACCTTCCAGCAGACTCAGTTGCGTCTCACGTGACACGAGTGGAGAAGGCCATACAAGCCCAGGGTTTACCCCAGCAAGTTAGACATTTTTCGGGGGAGGGTTATAAGAAATTCACTGATTGGGTAAAGGAAGTAGAAAAATCGTGCATTTCAGTCAGCGCTTCAGATGAAGCTAAATGTACGTTAGCCATGCAGACAGCTGTAGGACCAGCTGTAGTCTGTCATACAGACCCTGAAGCAAATATATCCAAGAAATCCCACGCAAGTCTAGAAAATGTGGTAAGTCTAGATTTCCCCAGCTTCAGGAAATGAAGAAAGTCTCAGGGCTCCTTTTCATTATATATATATATTTTTTTTACTATTAAGTTTTTTCAGTAAAATATGTTCATTTCAGAGACTAGTAGTTAGTCTAGACCAGCTGCTGACTTCCTGGTTAGAAAAGTGAGGGAAAACCCTCACATCACTTGGGCGCATCTCAAGGCACAACTCAAGGATAGTGATTTAAGTGATGTGCAGTACGCACAAGAAAAATTAAAGAAACTTAAACAGGCTGCTGGAGAGTCAGTACAAGGATATTTCGATAGACTATTATCTTTAGCTGACGAATGTTAAACCTCGGAAGAACTACAGACGGCCGTAATACAAAGTATTTTAACAGACGTTTTCATCGACTTAGGGATGATCATA